AAGATGCAAGGTTCACTAGTTGCGAAGATGATGGGTTAGGACGTAGAGTCGTAGAGGGCTTTTGCGGTGTATGCCTCTCCTACTGTTGATGATAAAAACCCTGCATTACCTTAAGGACCCTAAACTATGAGAATTATGGTGGATTTTCTATTATGGGTAATGCAGGATTTGTATCATCAACCGTATAAGGATTCTGGAGTTAAGAGGAGAACAAACTGCGCTGAGCCTGCTTTCCGATGCGGCTTGCAGCTTTGGAGATGTTGGCCCATGCGCCACCCTGACAGCAACGGGCTCAGTGAATAGAGTTCAGGGTCCCCAGAGACTCCAAAACCCCTTAAGTAAGGCATATACCTTAAACTATAATGGGATCCCTAATATGAACTAAAGTATATTCCTTAGTTAAGGGGTTTTGGAGTCTCTAGGTCGCGGTGTTTGGGCTTCATGTATGTAGGCGTCGCAATCATCATCATAGGCTTTGGTACGGCTTAAGGTTTGGATATCCCCGGCATCAGCAACCGCTGCGAAGTCGAGTCTCCGGGCTTCGGGTACCCAGAGTACCCAATACACCTTAATTAAGGAACACACCTTAAATATTAGGGGCCTTGATATTCTGGTTTAACGTATCTTCCTTAATTGAGGGGTATTGGGTTCTCTGGGTATAGGGTGTGTGTTTGATTTAGGGTGTAGGTTTGGGTACTGCCCCCATACAGTAACAGTCTATACTAGGGCTACTATTAGGGGCCTTATATATCCATATTATGAATATAAATCAACTGATACTGAGTGGGGGCAGCGTCCAATGCATGGTTGATTTAGGGCATAGGGCTCTAGATTCAGGGGATAGGCTCAGTATGAAGGGACCTGCGGAGAAAAGACCCAACTTCGTCACCCCTAAACCCTAAACCCTCAGCCGACCCCCAGGACCTGGAAACTCGATGCCCTAAAGCCTTCACTACCTGTTGGATGACAATGACTCAGCATATACGATCCGTTGATCTAGTTGATATTTACTCCAGTATACCATTCCTAAACCCAAAACCCTAACTCCATTTTAGTTGATATATACTCCACTATACCAAACCCTAAACCCTAACTCCATTATGCTATTCTTTAAGTTTGTACGTCGTGTCTTTATTACCGCGTTTGCGCCAGCCTCGCCCTTCTCTTCATCGACGTCCTGCAAGTGAAGGGCTTTAAAGGAAACTACAGGTGGGGAGTTTAGAGTATGTAGGGTTTAGGGTTTAAGGTATATAGGGCTTCTATAGGGCTTCTAGGAGGTATATAGGCCTTCTACAAAGGCTCCTATAACGGTAGCTACCCACCTGAAAATGTTAGAGGGCTGAGGGAAAACCCTGGCCAGGTGAGCACTTGACAGGCTCGCCCGTGTGAAGGACGGTACTGTGGAGGGCCTTAATAATAATAACAATAATAACAATAATAATAATAATTATAATAGTAATCAGAATAGGGTTTTGGGGTCCATGATACCACAAACTATAAAAACAAGGAATCCTCAGAATAGTGTAGGGAATTATTTAGGTCCCTAGATTCTTCAGATCGGGCAAAAGGCACCTTGCGCAGCCTGTGGAAAGTCTAGGGCCTAGGGCATCCGCAATCGTGGCTCCTCAGTTGTAGGTGTCCGCTCATCTTTCGGGACAGGGTCATAGGTGACCTGTGAGGCAACTGATGCCATTCCCTGCGGAGAGGGTTTTAGGGGTTTGGGGCTTAGGGGTTTAGCAGAGGGGTGCTCTTGTCGCATGAACACTCGCCTGAACATCCTGGTAGTGCTTCCCCTGTTTCTGTGCTGCTGCAGTGTCATCCGAATCCTACAAACCCTAAACCCTGAACCCCAAACCCTGGGCCCTACACCCTAAACCCTAAACCCTAGGCCTTATACACCCTAACCCCGAAACCCTAAACCCTAAACCCTAGGCCCTACACCCTAAACCCTATAGGCCCTACACCCTGAACCCTAAACCTAAACCGATTCTGAGTGCGGTGATTGTGGAGGGCCCCAAGCCCTAAACAGTGCCCGGCAGCGACAAGCCAGCCTACGTTAACACGAAGCTTACTATCTTCCCGAAGCCCCAAACGCAACGCAATCCTAAACCCTAGCGAACCCTAAACGGAACCTTCAGCGAAACCCGAACCGAAACCCTAAACGATCCTACAAGCGAACTCGTATTTTTAGGGTCCGAACTAGTATTTTTTGGGGTTCAGACTGTTTCTTTAGAGTTCAGACTAATATTCTAGAGTTCGGACTATTCCTTTAGGATTCGGTCTACCATTTTAGCATTGGGGCCAACGTTTTCGGGTTAGGACTACTGTTCAGGTTCGGACTATTATTTTTTCAAAACAGACTGTAATTAGTTTTCCGACTATTGTATTAAGGTTCGGGCTATTATTTTAGGATTCGGACTCTCGATTCGGACTATTGTTTCGGCTTCGGCAGGTTAAGACTACTATCTTAGGGTGCGCAGACTGTTACTATTTTTTCCGGCTTAGTAGTTTAGGATGTGGACTACTATTTTAGCAATCGGACCACGTTTTAGGCGTTGGACTATTGTTTTGGGACTTGAACAATTGCTTTTGGCTTCGGACTTTTATTTTAAGGTTGGGACTAGTCCTTTAGGATTCGGACTACTGCTTTAGGGGCCAGACTATTACTTTAAGATTCGGATTATCATTTTGGGATTCGGACTACTATTTTAGCGTTCGGACTAGTACTTTCGGATTCGGACTGTTACTTTAGGTTCGGACTATAATACTTTTGGACCTTGCCCACGAATTCCCGGACTTTTGGACCTTGCCCACGAATTTCCGGACCTTGCCCACGAATTCACGACCCTTGCCCAAGAATTTCATTGAGGTTTAACTTACTATGTATTGGATAGAGAGGGTTTAGGCCGTTTAGGCCTGATCAAACCATATCAAACCATACGTTGAGATACTATAATAAACCTTTCCTTTCTGGAGGGTTATGATCTTGTTGTAAATCAACCCACTGATTCTGGAAAGTCTCCGCTCCTTGCAACAGGAACTGATCGTAGCGTAAATTCAGCAAAGGTCCGAGATTCTCCCCCAAGCAAATCGCCTTCTCCGCAAAAGCTTTCCTTGCCTTTTCTGTCCACATACTGAACCTCGGCCCGGGTCTGTGGTTCTAGGGTCTAGATTTTCGGGTTTAAGGTTTGGGCAATTCTCTAAATTAGGTTCCCTGTTTAGGTGACCGAAAATATTGCGGCACCCTCATAAACAAAGGGCCCTAGAAGGGACCCTAATTTACAGGGTTCCGGGTTTAAGGTTTTTAGGGTTTCAGGTTTGGGGTCATACGCCTTTGGACTGACTAAACCCGAATCTATCCCTGAAGTTCGCTTCGCATGCAACCTCTTGGGATCTATAAGGGTTTCTTTAAAGGGGTTTAGGGATTTAGGGATTTAGGGTTTAGGGTTCTTTTTAAAGGGATCCTTTTAGAAAAAGGGGGGATCCTTTTAAAGGGGACTTGTAAACCTATTCAGGTCCTTCTTTCCAAGCCCGTCTAGTGAGGAACTCTCTGCCTATCTACCTCTATATATCTACCTACCTAACTAGCCAGCTATCTATCCATCTTGCTTATCATAATAAGGGCCCTATCTGACAGGATCAATATTAGGGTTTAGGATGGCCCTAAACCCTAAAAACATTAAAACCCTAAAGATTTTCTGTCTGTCATCGGGTCCCTTCGGCTCTGGATCACCCTTGTTTCACGAACTGACTGCGACCAATATAGGGCCCTCAACCCATAGAACAGGGTTTGGGGCATGGTTTGCGGGGTATGCCATAGTATAGTTATAAAAGCTATAACAAGGAGCCCGGAGGAATAGGACTATAGCTACTATTCAGGGCTCTATCGCACGTTCGCAGAACATGTCTCTGACGCTGCCTCCTTCTTCGTTCTCTCGTTATCGAATCCGACTCGTTATCGTAAATCCTAAACCCTAAAGCCCTTAGCTCCACAGACTCTACAGCCGATACTGCATGGACTCATCTTCCAGCTACTCACTGTAGCCGGCGGCTCTTTTGCTGCTTTGCCACTTTGGCTCGAGTCTCACGGTGGCTTCTGCGACAACCCGGAACCCATCATCCGAAATGCAGGCGCGGAGGGGCTTAGGGTTTAGGGTTTCTGGTCTGCTTTTTGTTGTGGCCCTTTACCCTCGGGCTTACGACGTCCAGGCTTGCAACTTTCTTTCACGGCTTCGGGCTGGCTGATGGGTGGATCGGTTCAGAGTGCACGTGGGTATCGAGAGTGATACATTCTCAGCTCCTTGGATACCTCGGTCAATTTTGACAGGAGGTGCAAGGTAGCTTTAGGCAAAACATAATGTAGAACCCTGATTAATAACCCCATCCTGAAGAAAGGATCACAACAGGAAAACGCACGTTTAGGCAATTGGTGAACGTGCTCGTTAAGTCTGTAAGCGGGCATCTACATTATCAGGAACGAACTTGGCGCATTAAATCGCGCCGTATAGAACAAGAGGACAGGCGAGTCCTCACCTATTCTTCACGACGAGAGCAATTCTCTCAGTCATCTGGTGGAGTCGGTGCATAGGGTTATAAGGCTTTGGGGCTCTGCGGGGTTTTGGGTGTGCAGCACTAGCCAGAAAGTTGGAAGATCACTATTTCCTAGCCAGCAATTCTTGAGCAGTGGGAAAGTGGCACAACACGTCACTTTTCTAGCTATAGTCTCCAATGTAGTTGTTGCTTGTGTTCACCAATCTTGTGGGTAGCTAGCCCTTGAAGAATGCCGAGATGTACGGTAGCTAGCCAATCTTATGGGTAGGGTCCTACAATCAAAAGAAATAGCCCAAAGAGGAACCCTAAACCCTAAACGCCAAACAACTGCAATGGAGACTGAAGCGAGGACAGGTATTTTTCAACTGCATCGCTCCCAGTTCTTCTGTGCATGTGCGACAGTTGGGAAAGGGTTTAGGGTTTTTGGCGCGCAAGGCATTTTGGAACGCCTAGGACACTTCCCGCGTCCACGGAGTCCAAGTCTTGGCACTTTCGTTGCCGTCACATGTCCAGAGCTCCACCTTCGCACCATCGTGGCCGTCATTGTCATGTACAGCCTCTCACGAGTCATGCAGCTGGGATGGCAATTCGAACATGCTTGGCCTGACTACTCCTCACATGGTGAGAACCTAAACAGTCAGAACCGCCAGAAAGTCTTCCTGCAGAGTCCTACAAGACGACATTTCGACCCAACCCGACGCTGCGCACCAGGCAAAACGGTTTCGGCTTCGTGGTTGCCACAGACCTGGGATTCTTGGGTTCGGAAGCGCAAAAACAAGGTACTGCTTTATGGACTCCTCTTCAAAGCTTAGGTAAAGAAAAAAAGAAAGGATGCCTAGCATTGACCAAGAGACAGCATTCCAGTGCAACCACCTCCAAAACTACCTTGGCGCAAGTGCGGGCTACCGGAAGGATACTAGAAGTAGTACAAGGATGCCAAAAGTGTGCTTTAAGGAACAAACAGGGGTTTGCAATGGCCAGGGGGACAGTGTTGGTCATGCCAAATCAGGTTGACAGCGCAGGCCGCAGACTTCGCTAGTTGTTCAGCTTCCTGCGCAGGCTAAAGGTTAACCTTGGGATTCTAAAATGGGACCTGCCTGTAGCCGAACAGACCTATCTTCTTTGGGCTCCTTATTGTGGTTTCTATATACATTTATATACATAGTTCCTTGAAAAGGAAGGTCTTTTCGGCTACAGGTATAATACGCCAAACCCTTTAAATCAAAGGTGACTTACTCGACTATTAAGCTTCTTGGTACGGCTAGTGATGCGAAGGAATGCTGTGCTCCGACCTCCTGGCAGCCCTTCATGAAGCGGCTGTCTGTTTCACCCCAAACCCTAAGCCCTCGCCATCTCACCAACATGTCCCAATGCTTCGCAGCTGCTCCACATAACCCAGTTCTGGTTGGAGTTGTCCTTGTCACACGGTCTCCTTAGGAGGTCAGGGATCACCAAGTTCAGCGATGCAGAGGGTTCAGAGTTATATAAGGGCTTTATTGCATGGTTCCTGCGATAGCATTGTGCAGCGGCTGGCACCCCCTGAAGTGCAGCATTTTGAGGGATTCCTCCCCGTTGCACACGCCAGCCCCGCCTCTGCTTCCTAGCACAATTCAACAAGGGATGCTGGGATGTCTTGCAGAATGATTGCCATTGACCGGCGTCGTTTCTGCCAAATGTGACAAGTACAACTGGTGGGCTGAAGGACGAAGGTCTTCGAATGCATGAGCAACAGCATGAGCAACAAGATAACAGGGCCAGGCACAGCAAAATCTCTGCCCCATCTTCAAACTTGTCGTCGCTGACAACGACGCAAAAGCCTGTGTCGACTGACATACCTGCAATGATTTAGGGTTCAGCGTTTAGGGCTTACTAAGCCTAAACCCTAAACCCGAGGGTTGATGGTTTAGGGTGCAAGGAGCAGGAGCCAGGTTAACAAACTTCGGAGAGCACAAGGAGAACCCAAAGGGTCTTAATAAGTACCAACATTATATATGTCTATATATATATATAGTAAGGGTTTGGGGTTTAGGGGTTTAGGGGCTTAGGGCTTAGTTAGGGCCCTAATACCTATATAGTGGACAGTAGGGTCTCTGTACTAGGAACTACTTTTATGGTTTGGGCAAGTATCTCCCATAATGGGTACTTAGGGCCCTCTGGGGAAGGACAGAAAGTGGGAATGACAGAAACAGTGGGGACAGGGAGGGGCATGCAACTTAGGCTGTGGCGTACTATCCTTGTTTGGTCATTCGAGAAGGCAGGAAAGCACCACAGAAACTTGGACACCTTCGCAAGTTGCCCACACAGTGCCGAGTTGCGGATACGCTCATCGAAGTCCTTGTTCAGCAAGTTCTGTTTGAAAAGCTGCCCAGGGCTTGACCACGACTCATCGCATGGGCGAAGCATCAGGCTCACGCCATCACCTTGCAGTCAGAGAAGATGTCAAGGCCCACGCAAAGCCAGGGATTGCATCGACGTTCCTCAAGCCTCAAACCCCTGGACCTTTCAACTGCGGAATCTTGAATTGCGGGACTTACCCACGCGGTCACGTGGTGCTGGGATGCATGCGACTGTAGGTACTTGCAGCCAAATCGCCAATTCGGTTGGCATCGCTAGACAAGCAGAGTGTTGGATCCTTAGTTTCGGTCGTGCGGCTTGTTGCTTTTCACGGTTTAGAGCTCAGGGCTGTGGCTCTGGATTTCAGATCTTGATGCAGCCTTGGGGGTCAAGCTTGACATGCAGTTTGTAACTTATAACTTCAGGCTACGCCCCATACTCTAAAGCACTACTGCAGACTCATGTGAAAAGCGAAGCTTGCGCAAACTCCGCAACACCTGCGCAGAGCAGTCGCTGAAGAGCTTTTCTGTAGCTGCAATAGGGTTCTGTACAGGTTACTATAAGGGCTTCTGCAAAGCTTCTATGACATCGTAAACCCTAAACCCTAAACCCAAAACCCTGAAAGCCTAAACCCTAAGAATCAGAATATAGTAAACCCTAAACCCAAAACCCTAAGAATCATAATAAGGGTTTTAAGATACATCTGACATAGGGGGCCTAAGAATTTGAATAACATTAAAGGTTTTAAGATACGTCTATGGTATAGCTACATAGGAACTCCAAGGGCATGGTTCTACTACTTGAGCCCTGAACCCTCTGCATTTAGATTAGGGCTTAGGGTTTAGGGTCTAAGGGTTTAGGGTTTAGGGCTCATTAGGGTTTAGGGTTTAGGGTTTAGGGTCTAGGGTTTAGGGTTTAGGGTTCACTAGGGTTTAGGGCCTAGGGTTCATTAGGGTTCATTTGGGTTTAGGGTTTAGGGCTCACTAGGGTTTAGCGTTCATTAGGGTTCATTAGGGTTTAGGGTTTAGGGCTCACTAGGGTTTAGGGTTCATTAGGGTTCATTAGGGTTTAGGGTTCACCAGGGTTTAGGGTTCATTAGGGCGTAGGGTCTAGGGTCTAGGGAGTCTAGGGTCTAGGGAGTCTAGAGGGGAGTCTAGGGTCTTCCCTACATTAAGACTCTTCCAGGGTGCTGGCATCCATCGAATCTGCATGCGGCTATCAGACGGGCAGTTGGGCTGCTCCTGCTGGGCACATGTACACGGTTTAAGGGGAGCCATAATAAGGGCCAGAATGGTACTGTAATGGTGAAGTTGTGCTAGAAGGGGTGGGTTACTGCTATACAGGTATAGGGAAGCATAAGGGTTACTATACCACTATAGAGCGCGCCATAAGAGGCACGGTAAGGCGTATGATAAGGGTTTCGCCCTCACTGGCGACGGGTGTCGTCAAAAGGTCTGTAAAGTTTGCCGTGCCTGAACCAGTGCTCTCCGCTTCGTGCCACGCACCTGTCAGGGTGCAGAGCAGCATGAGGCAAAGATCAAATTACTCGAGTCTTGGCTGAGGCACTTTTGGGCCAATCTCTCAGATGTCGACGACGAGACCTACATCTGCTACAATTCGCAACAATGCTCTTGTTCCTTCTCCAGGCATTGACAGAGCTCAGGCTTGACACTGAACCAAAGAACCTGAGTACGCCTGAATAGCCCGCAAACCCCCATCTGTCCTAAAGAGTCTTCTGCCAGTATCAGCACTCAAGCATGCCTTCAGAGTAAGCTTCTAGTACCCCTAAAACGCCACTTATAGCACTGCCTGAGCCAGGTTCAGGGCACCGTCATCGCATGCCTCGGCCTGACAGACTTCTTCGACCTCGCCCAGCTACTGCTCACGGACACTTAGGCTTCGGTTGTAGGGCGTGCGGCTGAGTTTTGGGTTTGGGGCAGTTTGGGGCTTGGGGCTTGCAAGGTTTAGGGTTTTGGGCTCCGGAAATACGGCAAGCATAATATGAACGATGAGGCGGGGTTCAAACCATCAGCAGTTAAGTGTCACACCCATAACACAAAGGCCACCAGCGAAGATGCTCTCGAAGCCCGCGGCCACGTCAGAAACCCACATACTATGGTCCTATTCAGCACTTACAACTTTCACCTCCCCTTCGGGCTACAACGGCAGCCTCCTGCTTGGTTTGGGGTTTACCCATAGGCTCCAAAGTAGTTCCTTTTTGTGGTATATATTTAGGATCCTATAAGGTAACCCCAAAAAGGAACTACTTTGGAGCCTATGGGTAGGCATTAGGCTTTAGGGAGCAACACCAGAGGGCCGGAGTGCCCTGATCCAAGTTGCTAGGAACAGAATGCCTACTTCCAAGCGCCGAGGGCTTGATCAAGAGTGATGGAAGAACCCAGGGATCCCAATACACCTTAATTAAAGAATATACCTTAAAGTATAGGGGCCTTCATATTATGATTTAAGGTATATTCCTTAATTAAGGGGTATTGGGTTCTCCTGGAACATGCAAGCATGTTTTGTGTTGTCATGGTTGTGCTGCTTTCAGCCTTGTTGCTACGGATATCATTGGGTATTGTTGTAAACTTGTAAGATGTGTATATAGCTACTACTGCCGCTCTTGCTAACTACTGTTGTTTGTTGATCAATAGGGTTGGTACGGTTCTCTGAGTTCGTTTGCTCCTGCCACCTTCTAGGAATCCTGGACACTGTCGCAACAAATCTGCGCCGATCCATTAAAAGTACGTGAGGTTCCGCCACCCCTTTGAACGATTGCATGATGTCTTGGGGGCAGCTGCAAGTTTCCCCGGCCCTACCTGAACCCCCAAACACTTACCCCCTAATATGCAAAGAAGTGACAACACGGAACCCTCAACAGGAAGGTTTCAAAGGGTCCACCTACACCCCAAGCCCTGAACCCTAAAGCAGCGGACACCAAACTGCCGGACTTGGGGCAAAAGAAGCAAAAGCCAGAAGAGAAGGGCGGCCTTCTCTCACTAAGAACCCCTTGAACCAGTTTGGGGTTTAGGGTTCAGGGTTTAGGAACCATAGCAAATCCCTTGGAGGTTTATATATATACGTAATTACTATAAAAAAAAGTTCTACTTTGTGATCCCGTGGAGTTTAGGATTACGCACTATGATATAAATAAGAACAGATTCCTAAGAACACTCCAGTCTTGAAGTATTGCAATCAGACTGTCTCGAAACGCACCCGCATGGGAGTGGACAGAGTGAACAACCAAGTGGTCCAATCCCGAAACCCTATAAACCCTAAACCCTAAACCGCAATTGGGGCTCCGCGTCTCCCTGCCACCCGCATGAAACGATCAATGAGTCCAATAGACTCAAGGATTCAAGGACGCCACAAAAACCTAAACCCTAAACTAAACCTGAAACCCTAAACCTTGAACCGTATATCCAAGACCCTTAACCCTAAATAATCCCTAAATCCCAAACCCTTAAACCTTAAACCAGAAATCCTAAACCCTAGACCCCAAGTCCTTCACCCAAAACCTCCCCTTAATCCCTAAACCCCCCCAAAAAATCTCGTTGCTTAGAGTCAAGGCTCCGTCCCACTGTAAGCTCTGTGTAGTGGTATGAGGCAGATCAATGCAGCAACACACCTGGCCAGGACTTGCTTAGGGTTTGGGTTGCTTTAAGGGATCCTTAATGGAATCTCCCAGAGACTCCAAAACCCCTTACTGGTAATTAAGGACTATACCTTAAACTACAATAGGATCCCTAATATGATTTAAGGTACATGCCTTAATTAAGGGGTTTTGGAGTCTCTAGGCTATCAGGCTTCTGGCTTGGGTTGCTTTAAGGGTTGCTATATGGGATCTATGACAATGAGGTAAGTTTAGGGGCTTGGGGTTTATAAGGCTGAGGGTCTGCAGCGGGCGTGGGGTTTAGGGTTTGGAGTTTGGGGCTTAGAGTTCAGGGTTTAGGGTTTGGGGACTGGGGTTTTGGGGGCGTGGGGTTTGGCATTTGGGGATAACGGTTTCAGTCCCAGTCGCACGCATGCAATCTATGGCCATCCTTATAAGCCTCAATGTGCCTGCAAACCTTGACATCTCAAACTCTAAAAACCCTACGACCCACCCAAAAAGCACCAAAGCCGCAAGTGCACAAAAAAGCTCTTGAAGGAGGGCCCTAAGCAAAGGTGCCTGCTCTGCATTCTCATTCCAAGTGTTCGCTTTTGGCAGGCCCAAGGGCGCTTCGGCCACTTGTGCAGTAAAGAGGGCTGTGGCGTGCAAACACATTCAGACAGATTCGGTGGTACATGTCAGGGTTTAGGGCTTAGGGTCTATGATTCATGAGGGCTTAGGTCGCATGGGGTTTAGGGTACCTTAACCCTTAGACCTAAAGCTTTGTCTTCATCATACATTGCGCAGGGGGGGGGCTTAGGATATGTTAGGGTTTTACAAGGCTTCCTCTTTATGGTTTCTAAACCCTAAACCCTAAACCCTAAACCCTAACTCAAAAAGGGTGGGCTTTAGAAACTTCCGAGTTGACTGAGGGTTTTAGGGCTGCCAGGGCTTCAGAACCCGGAGACTCCAAGAGCCCTTAGTTCGGGAATATACCTTAAATGATCTTTGGGATCTTATTACCCTTAATTAAGGAATATGCCTTAAGCCATAATATTATCATGGTTTAAGGCATATTCCTTAATTAAGGGGTTTTGGAGTCTCTGGGAAGCTGGGTAGACAAGAGACCGGAAGCCTATACCCTAATCCACAAAGACTCCAAACATCTGAATGTCTCTGCGCCGGGCAAGTTGGCTCCACCACCTGTGGGAAGTCTCACGCAGTTGACCCGAATGTAGGGTTTACATGGTTCAAGTTTCCATTGGCAAGTAAAACGAACGCTGACATCATATCAAAATCCAGACACGTCCAGTTCAGCTGGGCGCACTGTGTCGAAATTGGGCGTCCCTGAAAAAGGCTGCTTCGCGCTTCTGGATATGTATACGTAAACACAAATTAACTGCACAAGTTAAATGCATGTACGCGCACACGAAAATCTAATTATGAGCAACTAAGTGTGTATGTATATGTGTGCATATATATACATACATACATACATACATTCATTCATTCATTCATACATGCCATGTGTGTGGGTGTGCAGGTCATCGGCTGTGTGGGTGCTCGTGGTCGGGGCGTCCAACCTTTCCACGACGACCGTATGCAGCGGCCTCATGCAATTTAGGGTTTATAAGCGTTTAGGGTTTATAAGGGTTTAGGGTTTAGGGCAAGTACAACAAAGACAAAGCCCGAAGGAATCATAGTTGTAAATGCTTAAGCCTCCACATTACTGCCTTCAGGTCACACGTTGGGTGCTACGCTCAGAAAGTGAGTGGGAAAGGGGCCTCAATAATTAGAACAGGGTCCTGAGGTTCGGGGAAGGACTACAAGGGGAAGCCAGAAATTAATATTCCAACCCTTGACCTCTAGAAAGCTTTTGGGCGAGGAACAAGGCTTGCTCGGATGTTTCCCCCTAAACCCTAAACCCTCAACCCTAAACCATACTTGCTGAACCCTAAACCCTAAACCCTGCACCCTAAACTTCGCCCTAAGCCCTAAACCCCTAAACCCTAAACCCTTATAAACCCTGCAAACCCTAAACCCGCCTGCAGCACTGGGCTCCATCGCAGCGTCCTGTACCTGCTGCCGGTCACAGGTCGCCACACCCTAAAACCACAACGTTTAGGGTTTAGGGGTTTAGGGTTTTAGGGTGTAGGGTTTAGGGGTTTAGGGGTTTAGGGTTTTAATAAACTCTAGAGGCTTAAGCCCTAAACATCCAGAGCCTTAACCCCTAAATCCTAAACTCATCTCGTTGCAGGTTTGGCAGCCTCACGTTGCCGTGAAAGTTCACAGACTGCGTGCTGCCATTGCAGTTTCACTTTGGGTCGGACCATCTGAAATCGCAATGCTTGTGAGCGAAGCATGTTGGATTGAAGCAGTATTGGAAGACCTCTGTGTTTTGCACAAGGTTGCGCCGTTGCCCTTCCTAGTGCCCGGTGTGTGCGATGTACCATCGGTTGCAAGGATGTTTGAGAACCTTCGCAGGGAACAACCTCGAAAGCATGGGCATGTCCTGAGCCTTTGCAATTGTGTTATGCCTCTCGCAAGGCCCACGTACCGTTTCTTCGCCAAGAAAGGGGAGCTGTGGCACCAACATGACGTGACCAAATCTGGTGCAGATGCTTGTGTGTGTGCTGAATGCGGAGTCGTTGTGTGCGGCGCTGCTGCTTCGGCGTCGCATCGTCGCAAGGTCCACAGTGTTTGTTCGCTTGGGAGCCGCCTTGGACACTTCTCGTCCTGTCCGCGTTGCATGGTCGAGTTCTGAAGTGCTAGGAGGCTTTGTGATCACTTGCGTAAACAGGCAGCATGTAGGGCTGCCTTTGAGGCAGCCGATTACGACTTGCAGATTACTGGAAAGTAGCAGCCCGTCCACGTGAGTCTGAAACCAGCCACTCGCATACAAGGGCCCAAGACGCTGTGGGCCGATGTGGATGTTGCCCATCATTTCCGTCCAACTGCTGTTGCACAGGATCTGAACTTTGTGGGGCTAAATGTTTGGGCCGCTTGTTGCAAGAATAGGCCACTGCAGCCCTCCGCGGCGCGGCTCTCAAAGACCTGGCAGAGCTCTCACGGGCAATCCCGCGTTCTTCTACTTCCGGACTTTGAAATAACCAGGGAGACAAAAGTATCGACTTTTAATTTCATTTTGGTTCCTTGAAGGAACAGGTCCAATTTAAAAAGTATTCAAGTATGGTACTCCAGAACCCAGGCTTTGCACTGGAGCCGAGCTCAGCCTGCGAAGTGCAGATGCCGAGCTACAGCTTCTGCTCATGGCTTGTCAGGGAGCAGGACCCTCCTTGTACCCTCAAATAGGGGTATATGGTCCCAAATAAGGGGTACTTAGGGTCTAATAGAGGGTAGATGGAGGGTCTAGGGACTTGATATTGTTGTTTTTAGGTTTTGCTGTTGGACGAAAGGCACCACTCACATCATTTTCCCCGCAGCGCCATGGCAGAAGCGACTCGTGTGCTCCAGCTGTGATGTGAATTCGTCTCGCACCTTACCTGGCCTAGAGTTCCCAGAAAAAGGAACTCTAACACCATAAGCCCCGGAAACCAAAACCCTGCGATTTAGCGGGTAGTATGTCTAGGTATATGTACATATACGTAGATAGATATGTATGTACACTTATGCTATTGAGGCCATACGGGTCGATACTCTCATGTTGGGGATGAAGGTTTCTTGGTGTCAGCCTAAACCCTAAACTCAGAACCCCAGACCCGAAGCCCCCAAACACTAAACCATCCTAAACTCCAAAGCCCAAATCATCAAACTAAACCCTAAACCCCAAACCATCAAAACTAAACCCTAAACCCCTAAACCCTCAAAACTAAACCCTAAAAGCCCAAAACGCCCTAAAAGCCCTAAAAGCCCTGAAAGCCCTAACAGCCCTAAAGGCCCTAGAAGCCCTAAACCGTGCGTTCGGCGGCCTCCTCTGAAGCTGCGGCAGGTGCCTCAAAGTTCTTGGCCAGGCCCTGGGATGCGGGGCCCCTAAAGGAAGGAATATCCCTTTAAGGGTTCCTTAAAGGGATCTATAAGGGTTTAGGGGTTAGGGTTTAGGGTTTAAGGTTAAATGAAGGGGGTTCCTTTAAAGGAAATGAAGGGGGAGGTTTAGGGTTCCTTAAAGGGATCCTTCAAGGCTACTATAAGGGTTTAGGGTTTGTGTTAGGGTTTAGGGTTCCTTTAAAGGGTCCCGTCAAAGGATACTATAAGGGCTACAAAAAGGGGCTGGGCCCCTAAAGGAAGGAATACCCCTTTGAGGGCTCCTTAAAGGGATCTGTAAGGCTACTCGGGTTTCAGGGATCAGGATTTTAGGGTTCAGGTTGCGCGCAGCTCAAAGATTTTAATGGGTACTGAAGCGCATTGAATGTTAGCGTTCGGTGCATGACGGACGGCGGCTTTGAAGGGTTCGTGGATGGTCCCTAACACACTAATGACCAAGTCCTGATCCAAGCAAAGGGCCCTAAATCCGTACACTTAAACCCTATTCCCCATGACAAAAGCCCTAGACCCTACAAGAACAAATGCCTAAGAACCCTTGTAACAACCTATAGCTCCCCATATCAACCTTATGTAAAGCCTGTGGAGCCCATATTAAAGCCCTGATCAACCCTTTCAAACCCGAAACCCTAAATTAAACTCTGAAAAACAAACCCTAAACTAAACCTTGAAAATCAAACCCTGAACTAAACTCTGAAAAACAAACCCTAAAGTTTAAACTCTGAAAAACAAACAAATCTGATACGATCCTGAACAAATTCCCCGATGAAAGCCCGAGCTCTCAATTCGATGCCTTGAAGCCGATCTTTAGCCGTTCCAAGGGCCTGGTGCGAATTTAGGGTTCACGGTTTAGGGTTTAGGGGTTCAGGGTTTGGGGGCCCTTAAAGAGTCTATCAAAGGTGTAGGCCCTAAACCCTAAACCCTAAACTCTAATCCATTGCGAAAGTTGCTGTCACTTGCCGGGCCCTCCTCCAAGATGTTTGAGAGGTTCAGGGTCTTTCAGGGCTTGAGCCTATAGGGCTTTGGGAGGCTTGCGGGTTTCAGGGATTGGGTTTTAGGGTTTAGGGTTTAGGAGGCTTCCGGGTTCCAGTTTCCACCCTAAGCACTAGGGTCTTCAGCATTTGGGAGTTTGAGGGTTTGAGGGTTTCGACCTAAGTACCGAAACCCTAAACCCTAAACCCTAAACCCTTTATGGTAAGACAGTTTCAGGGTTTGGGTTTTCACGCTAAGCACAAGTCACTAGGGGCTTGAGCACTTGATGCTTCATTGTCTGGGCTCTCGGTTTAAAGCCCTAGGCTCTATGGGCCCTAAACCCTAAACCCCAAAGCCCCCAAAGCCCCTAAACCCCTAAGGTTTTAGGGCCTATAGACGTTCAGGCTTACACTCCCTATAGCTTCGAGTTTTCCGGGTTGATTTCATGCCCCAAGCCGTGACTCCTAGGGCCAAGGGTTTTCTTTTGTTCATGGAATTACTTCTTTGGATCGTCGCAACTCTGGGTGTGCGGCCCTGCTTGGTTGGTGTCGGCGCCAGCCTGGCCAAGGGGGTTTTTGGCCCTAAACCCGACCGCTAAACCCTACCCTTTTTGAGGAACTATATATAGAAACCATATAGAAACCATAATGAGGAACCCTGAAAAGGTAGGTCTTTTCGGTTACAG